GAGCTTTCCTGTGATTGGCAAGTTGCAATGCCTCACTGCACAAGCTGTATTGCTGGTCAGAGGGCTTAGAACAAATTGACAAATTGTTGTGAAAGTAAATAAGCTATATCTATAGTATTCTCATTCCAGAAAATGTTGTGTTTCTTTTTTCCATGTGTATATATACAGTGTTATTATTGTTACTTTATTTGTTTTTTTTTTACTTGTATTTTTTAGGAAAACCTACAAAGATTATCAGAAATAAAGTTGCCAGCCATCACAAAACTTCAAGTATTTTAAATATGAATGAGCCTGCTAATTCACATTCTTTCAAAGTCCAACAGGGAGGGGAGAGATTTAAAGAACATTAACATCAAAAACATAAAATCAGTGTTATAAGGTAGTAAAAATAATCCTCCTATCTCAATATCTCTCAATAAACTCCTGGAGTCTTAGCTGATAGGTTGAATTTTCCATCTCATAAATAATAAAAATCAGAACCATTTCTGTGTCGATAATTACCTGCCAAAAATAATTTAAGCAGGCATTTATCTGCTTTGTTACTTTTTTCGGCTGATGCTTTTCTACAAAACGTCTTCCAGAGATTACGAACGGGTATTTTATTTCTACACAGAGAGATCTGTTGTAGACAGCTGGGTTTGCGGGCTCTGTGCCTCTGCCAGAGGTAGAGCAGCTCTGTCCCTGGCTGGGGTTTTTTAGGCAGTGGGAATGGGCCTCTCCATGCCTGTGTATGCATCACACAGCGGCAGTACCCCACTGCAGCCTGAGTTACACAGATCTGTGCATCTGAGCTTGGCAGGCTGTGGTCAGCACTGGGGTGGGCGATCTCACAGGAAAAGCCTAGCTGCTGCTGCAAGTGCCGTTGATGCACCAGTAGGTGGCGCTCTTCCCACCAGACAGGAATTCTCCCACTAAACTCCCTAAGACCCCGCGCTGTAGGAGGTGCTGTCCTGAAACAGAAACCCGAGGTCTTGACTACTTCTGTCGTTGAAGATCCCACAGCACTGTCCCAGTTTTTACCCAAGCTGGCCCCTTAACTCAATACAGCTGGAGTTTCTCACCTGCAACGAGTGTGCAGTGGGAATCGCTGTGTGTCTCCCAGGTTGTGGCTGCACTGCAGGGGGGTAATGAAGTGGGACCCCCTCCTATAAGTAAAGGTCTTTGAGATCATCTGGGTGGAAAACCACTATCTATACAAGAATTATTATTATTATTAGGCATCATATGAATCTAAAATTATTATTATCTGAAGCAAAAACTTTCCAGCTAGGAATTCTCAGCCCCCTATCCACCTTTCCACACTGCCACCCTTCATGATGTGTACCCAGATGTGGGCATTTGTCTTCCCATCTGTCTGTCTGTGTGCACTATATATCCTTCCACGAATCTACCCATCTGCGATGCACATAATTATATGTGCCATAGTGTTTGCTAATTGAGGTGGCAGACCGGCGATCCTGACTCAAAACAAGCACATAAACGCTATTAAAAAAAGGGAAGTGATCTCATCTCGCCACAGTATTTTTTTTTAAACGAAATGCACTGACTGCGAAATGCAACTAAAGGCTGGTTGCATGTTTGTCCTCCTGCTTCTTCAGGCTCCGCCTCTCCTGCCCTCCGAAGCCCAGTACCTGGTGTCAGGCGCCTGCGAGAACGGATTCTCTCCGGGCAATCCCGCCAGCTCCGGCCTCGGCTCCCACAGACCCCCGCCTTCCAAACCCCCCGGGCCGAAACCTGGGATCGCGGGCGGCTGGGGCTCTCATTCCCAGCCTCCTCTCATGCCTCCTCATGCAGGTGAGACCTGGCCTTCTGCAGATCCACCTGGCTTCACTGGGCGGCAGACGTGGACTGCCCCCACCCACCCACTCCCGGCGTAGACTGTGGGATTTCACGGAATAAATGGGTTTTTCTGTTTCATGTGGAGATGCTCCCTGCACATAGATCCAAACTACATCACAGCCTGAGCTGATCCCCGGGCAGCTGGCACAGTTGTTTCTGGTGGCTCTGCCTGAGCTCCTTTCAGCTCTGTGCAAGGAGTTTCAGTCTTTGCTGTCTGCTTGAGAGGAGGGGCAGTGGGCTAGATGTGTGTTTCTTTCAGTCTGTGGCTCTCCGTCCTGGTCTTTGGACCCCTGTGTCTTCTGCTTTCTGCTCCAGCTGAGTCCTTAATCACAGTTTGACAATGGTGATGATGATTATCATTATTTCATTGATTTCAATTTTGTATTTGAGGACTATCTTTAGATTTGCTTTCAGCTCTTTAAAAGTTAAATCTGATTTGCAATTGGTCTCAACCCTTTAATTAATTACTAGTTTACCTGTTAATTTGGGCTTAAAAACAGAAGGAAAAGCAGTCACTCATTCCGGGCGTGTTACATACATTGTCTTTACCCCTCATGTGTTCGTCATAGACTGGACACCTATTAAAACTAGTCGTCTTTTCAGTCAGAAATCATTCTTAATTGCCAATCTCAGGAGAGACTACATAATGCTGTGTACTGTATAGTAGTGTACAATCATATCTTAACAAGCAATCAGAGCAAAGACAGGGGTACCCCAGGAGCAGTATGGAGAACCAGTGATTTAAATAACAAAGCTCTGGAAGAACTTTAATATATCGCTTCTTTTAACCACATAAGTCAAGTGAGAACTGTTTTATACAGTAGGGTGCTTTGTTGGATAGTCTGAATGAGGCACCTACCTTGAGAGTAGAACAGCAATCAATTTACTATCTGGAATTTGAACCCACAACCCTCCAGTCAAGAGTCCTGAGCCCCATGCTGTACGGGTTCTGGTACACCACCACAAAGAGACTTCTGAGTGCAGCCTTAGGATGACTGCAACTCAGTGGTAAACCTCTCAGATTGCGAAAAAAAAATCAAAGTGAGATTTCACCACACTTGTAATGACTTCTGCACGCTGTGCATGAATCGGACCAGCTGAAATGGAGGGCAGGTGGTTCAGTGGATGGCGAAGGGCTTTTTGTTACCGTGAGGTCCCGCAGACACTCACAGTGGCCCCTAACTTGTCTGTGCTTTGTTCTGCAAAGGGGTGCCCTTCCTTTTGTCAGTGGCTCTGCGGCATTGTTGTTGCTGCACAGCATCAGACTGAAGGTGCGGGGCGAAATCACTGATTGTAATTATTAAGTGGCAATGAATTAGATTTAATCGTCCCTTTGTCTGTGAGAGAGAGGTCTGCTCCCTGAGTCTCTATGCAAGCCCTGTCAGCTGTGAGCACAGGAAGTGTGCGCTACAGGGCGGAAAAGCCCCCAGTGTTAGAGAGAGGCTTTGACCTGATTTGTGGGTTTCACACTTCACCACGAGCCCATCTTCACAGCTCCTGCAGCCCCTGTAGGCTCGCTGAGCTGAACTCTGGCCCCTAGAGCACACTACGCTGGGGCTCTTCGGAGAGACCACGGGCATCACTGCGTCTTAATGTCTTTCACAAGAGCACTCAGAGGACGACCAGAGTGTCGAAGCTGGTGGGGTTAAAAAGTTTTAAAAAGCAGAAATGTTTAGACATTAGTAATGCCCAAGAGAGTTCTCAGACAACGCGTGAATATACAGACACAGTGAAAAACAAAAATTGGTCCTCCTCCCAATATTGGTGTTGCATGGGGTACTTGTGCACATGTGGTCGTTTTGGGGTAAAGGTATGGAGGAGTGGGAGTAATAGTTCACAGTAGACTGCACAGTAAATGACGTGGAAACTTTTAACTTCATCTTTCTGTGAGAGCCAGTTCTCGATCATCGCAGGCCTGGTTCTGGCTGTCAGGTCACACACTTTTCGCCGTTGCATCAAATTCACTATGCCTGACAAGAGACTAACTCAAGAAAAATCCCTGCCCAGGCTTTTTCTTTTTTAGAAGCAGATGTCATTACCAACGAGTGGATGCTAAGGTCGCTAAAAAAAGAGCTGTTCCTCAAAAAAAGAAAAAAAATTCCACCCCTGCCCACTTCCTGTTTTTCACTTCCTGTTCTTTTAAGGCATCGGCTATTCGATGTTCAGTCACGGCCACCTGAGCAGGACCCTGGCGAAGACCCCGCCCCCTCTGAACCTGGGTTCCGACGGCAGGAGGATGGAGGGGCACCCGGGTCTGACTGGCACCCGCAGTCTGGGCACTGCGGTGAGGGACTTTTTGCTTGAAGTCACGGGTTTTTAATTAGACCGACATTATTAATATATTTTACTTTGCTCACCTTTGAAGTGTGAAACCACTGCTCCTCGCATATGAGATATTAGTGGCAAAGGTAAGTACATTTTTCAAGTACAGTTTCTACTGATGCATTCAGTGATCGCTAATTTAAAAATTCACGGGAAACATCACAGACACCTACTAGCTGCTAGTTTTGCAGTCCTGTCCCTTATTTTCTTGTGCCGCAGAGCTAGAATATCCCTGTCTATGAGGCTGGGGCTTCTGACCTCCCAAAACTCTGCCGCTGAGCGCTGGTGCCCTGCAGTTGCTACCGTACAGCAGAGTCTCGCCATCTGGGAACTTAGCATTCGTGGATTTGGTCTGGCGCTCTGGGTCTTGTGAGGGAGAAGAGCAGGGCAGAACGAAACCAATCTGAGGGTTTTTAAATGCAACGTTTAAAATTAGCAGCGCAACAGGCTCCGATCGTGAGACGAATCTAGCTAGTGAGTGAGCATCTCCCTGCCCAATTATCCCTTACCCAGCAGCTGCATCTCGGCGTGCTCTCGTTCTCAAATTGTCACGAACTCTCTCGGTTCTGTGTCAGCATGGGCAATGACAGGCTAGGAGACATCTTTACAGGCTTTAACAGTTTTATTGCCTGTTTCAGTTTTTTCAGTTTTATTGCCTGTTTCAGTACAGTGCAGTGTGATAATCACAGAGGCAGAGAGAAAAAGAGCAGACAGGAGGCAGAGGAGGGACTCGTGTGGATTTTAACTGATTACTATAAGTTTGTGATGACTTGTTTTTTTTAAGTTGACCAGTGTTATTTAAATTAATTGAAAGCCAATGCATTAGAACTTTAATTATCATATAAAGGAGGGTTGCTTATGTTTTTTAACTACACATTCTACAGTATATGCTGTAGTAGATCATGTAATGATATAGGAAAGGATTTGTTTAAATGTTAATTTGGCTGTTCGAGACACCTGCACTAAAATAGACTGATCTGCATAATAATCAGTACACTTCTATAGCCCTTTTCTGGACCCTCCACTCAAAGTGCTTTACAGGTCATGGGGATCCCCTCCACCACCACCAGTGTGCAGCCCCACCTGGATGATGCGCCAGTCCGCTCCCCACACACCGGCTCTCAGTGAGGGGGAGAACAGTATGATGAAGATGTAGATGGGGATTATTATGAGGCTGTGATTGGTAAAGACCAGGGGGAGATTTGACCAGGACACCAGGATTAACAGCACTAATCTTTTTGAGAAACACCCTGGGATTTTTAACAGGCACAGGCGCTTAAGAGTTAGAGAGTCAGGACCTCAGTTTTATATCTCATTCGTAGGATGGCACCTTTGTTTACAGAATAGTGTCCAACCTTATACCAGGGCATTAGCACCCACACAGACTGCAGGGTGAGTGCCCCCTACTGGCCCCACTATCACCTCTTCCAGCAGCAGCCTTCGTCTTTCCCAGGAGGTCTCCCATCCAGGTTCTGGCCAGGCTCTCACTGCAGAGCTCCAGTGCGGACAGTGGAAGCGACAGTGGCGTGCTGCGGAGGAGCGGGAGCAGGCCCTGCTGCCCCATCCAGCTGGTTGGGTTGCGAGTAGGTGGGGGATTCGAGCCGAGCAGCTCGCCCGGCTGTGTCCCGCGAGGAGCCCCAGGTGCCTGTGCACCCTCTCTGTCCCCCCTTCCGCGTGTCTCTGGAGAAGCCGACTCAGGGCGCGCGAAGGGGCTGGAGCTGACTGACCTTCTCTGTCGCCTGCAGAGGGTGCTGTACCCGGGGGTGCCAGCTGGGAACCACGTAGTGACCATGGGGAAGACCGGCTTGCTGGGGCACAGTCTGGGAGGTTACGGCCTGTCCTCGGCGGGGCCGCCCGGTAAGCAGACAGCTGCCGTGTGCCAGGGGACCTTCAGCTCCGCCAGCCGATGATAGCTAGGCAGAAAATAAAGAGGGAAGTGGAGAAGAGCCCTCATGCTTTTTGTTGCAGTATGATCGGATCTGGAGGTGTTCTTTGTTTGGGGGGGAAAGCTTTTTTTGGGGGGGTTTTGCATTTATTTTTTTTCTGACACAGAACGCTGGTTAAAACCACACAAAGAACATTAAATCAACAAAATGCAAAGGAAAACATTCTGTACAGGTCACACAGTTACAGCCACATATAAACTAGAATAAAACAAAGTCTACGAAACTCATTTTAAAACATAACAAAGGAAGGAAAATAGAATTCAGAAGAATAGGGGAGACAATCTATTCGGGGTCGAAATAAAAACGGTCAGGCACACATCCCGTCCAAATTTAAATAATTCCACATATCCTAGAATGTAAATAGTTCTTAATTTATAGACATCATAGATTTCTCAAGTCAAAGATTTTCAGGAATTCTTGACATCCGTTGTGAAACGAAAATCTTTTCGAAAAGTGTAGGTCCATATTTGAAGTTTATGGTTTGCTGAGGTCCCCAGTAAGGCCTAACCTGGGGTTTAAGAGGAATGTCAGCAGTCCAGGGTGCCAGACAGGGTAGATGTCATTTGAGCCCAGAGTCTTTCACTTTGTTATCATTTGTAGTTGCAGCATGAGGAATAGCGGCAGCAGCATTACCAGTGTTAATACACTCACTGGCCAGAATATTAGGTACCCACTCTCTGGGATATGCTGCCCAGCTGGGACGTGCGAGCCTGGCTTGACTGGGGCACCGGGCACGTGTGCCACAAGGCTCTGAAGGCGCCCCCACCCCCTCCCTCCATCCCTCCAGCTCAGTGGCCTTCAGTGGGGGCTGTGATGAGGGGTAGTGGCATGTCGGGTCCCGAACTGAATGTTCTCCAGACTCCCCCGGCTGGCGGCAGGGCTGGAGCTTGCCCTGACCGGGGGCGCAGTGGCCCAGTGAGTGCGGGAGCCAGAGGGCTGACGTGTTTCCGCTGTCTCCCCAGAGTACCCTCACCCGGGCTTCTCCCACTCTGTGACCCTGCAGCGCGGCGCCATCAGCCCCTGGCAGCAGGAGCCACACCACGTGGCACACAGCAGCCTAGGGTAAGACCTCTTCTTTACTGTGAGGCTGACCACACTCAGGATCTGTGTTGAAAACTCACTTCAGATGAGTGAGTTTTCAAGTAATCATAACATGATTACTTGATTACATGTTATACATGTTATTTATGTTATGTTATTACATGTTACTGTTATTGCTATTGTGTAACTGTCTATTGTCTTATCTTCTGTCCTATTTATATACTGCACCTGAGTGACTAATGAGAAACACTTTTCATTATACTATGCACCTGTGTAAGTTTAATGACAATAAAGTTGAATTGAATTTAATTGAATTGAATTGAAGATGCATGCATTGCATTTGCATGACCAGTAGCTCTTCACCAGGTTTTTTTTTTTTAAAAGCAAAGCCATCAAAGCCCGTTTGCTTTCACTGAATTGCCTGGGTGATGATGCTTAGGTATGTCATGTGCAGGCATAAAGGTTATAGTGGTGCACACGTGCACACACGTGTTGCACAAAGCATTGCATTAGCAGTCTTGCGTACTGGACCTGGAAAAGTATTTGTAAACTCTCCTGTGTCCACCTGTTTGATGATTTGGCTGTTGGTGACATCTACAGGCTAATGTTTGCACTGCAATGCAGCAAGAAAGAGGTCTAGTTACTATGTTGCTCTTGATATTCCTGATAACTCCATATTCCTGTTGCATGTGTCGTGGATATTATATTCTTAGTGACCATGAGAGCATAAAAAATGCTTACAAGAGAAGAGGACATTAGCTCATCTAGCTTGGTAGACCTCCGGTAGCTCATTGATCTGAGGATTTCATCCAGCCATTGAAAGATGCCTGGGTATCTGCTCCAACAGCATGATTGGGAAGCTTGTTACATGCTCCCACCACCCCTTGTGTATAGAATGCCTCCACTTTTAACTGGGAAACTTCCCTTTACTTTCCACTTCTGTTTCACTCTTCAGGCCTCTCTGTGGTTTTTCATCTATTTTTATATACAGACTTTGCAGATATGGCACATTTGTACAATTCTTAAGCAGCTTCACTTCACAGCCCATGTAAAAATTCCAGCCATAAATGTATCTTTTATTGTCGATGAAACTGTGTTTTCTCTGTTCTCTGCATTGAAACATTATACCTTTTTTGCTAAATTAAAAGAGGACATGTCTTTTCTCAGGCCATAATGTCAGTATTCTTTTTTAGCAGCTCAGAACTAATACTTTGAGCATAGCCAGAGTTCAGGTGAAGAATTTTAGATGACTGAATTGAAGAAGACAATTACCCAATTAAATGCAGTTTAGTTATGAAAGATTCAACACTTTTGTGACCTGTGAAAATGTGGTTCTGTTTTCCACAGCATGTCCAGCAGTGGGTGTTCCTTCTCTGCACACACCTCGGCACCAACACCTCCCCCTCACCCATCCCTCAACCTCAGCATCAAATCGGAGAGAGTCTCCCCCGTTCACACCTGCTCCTCGGCCACGCCTCCACTGCAGCACGTGGCCCAGCACTCACCAATCAGCAACCCCGATTCCACAGGCCATGCCCCCCAGGATCCCTATGCGACCAATGAGAGGGAGGACTACCAAAAAGGAGGTTATATCTCCCCACAGGTGCTCTGCAGGGCCCATCCTGAGGACAAACAGGGGCCACCCAGCAGGCGATCAGAAATAGCTGAGAATTGGCAGAGATAGCTGGCAGGCAGAGCCTGTGTCCCTAGAAAAACAGGTTAATCACAGAGATCCGAACAGTGGTACAGTGGATTAACGCCCATGTGCTATAAGAGTGTGATCCTGTGGTGTTCTGTGACACAGTGTGGAAACCTGTGTTGTGTCTCTTAATACAGCGGCAGTCTGTGTAAACAGGCAGGACCAGAAAGATGTCATAAGGCTGTTTTCCCTTCTGAGCTGCCTTAGAAAGACAGTTGTCACCCAGGTCTGTGCGGAGTGAGCAGAACACCAGCGTCTTAATGACCTTTCCATCCATTCCACAAGCAGTTAGGTGACTGATGACAAAATTAGGTTGTGTATTGAAAGAAAAAAATGCATTTTTTTATTTCTGTCTTTTTTCCATCTTATTACTAGGCTTTTTAGTATGTATTTTATGAAATTGACTATTTTCACTTGTTTCTGTTTTTTCTGTTTGTGACTATCCTGCGCCAGGGGTCTGGAACTTCTTGTTAAAGTTTGACTTTTCTGATTTGCAGAACAGGTGGCCAAATTAGTTAACCAATACAGAGAGTGGTTTCTCTGTCACAGGGCGATCGGGTTCAAGGGCTAACATGTTCAATGTGTGCTATATAAACCCAGACAGAAAAGGGTCTGACATTTCTCATTGCGTGGTACGTCTCTATAAATAGTTTCTCTCCATTACATAGCAACCAAAGACTTGAAAAATTGGATTTCTAATAAAAAAACACATGTAGAAGTTAAAAGAAGTAATGTAATATCAACAATCAAATAATTTATATTTTTCTGGAGGGGAAACTCTGCTTTTCACATTTTAAATGAAATTCTTAAATACTTGCTGTCTTAGAAATGGAAAGAAGTTTGTTTATAAAATAAGAAATACTAAACATTATACACAGACTTATGAGAATTAATATTTTAAGGCAATTATATCTATTAATTTTTATATTGTCCAAAAATTGCATGCATGCCCTTACTTTTTTAAAAGCTTTTCAATTACCCTATTTTATTATTCAGATCTATATCATAATTCTTATTTTTTAAAACTTCCCTGACTCATCTATGCAATGCAACTGGTGGGGTGATTCCGGAAAATAATGCCAAGAAGCGTCCCTTGGTTCATCGCGGCATAGAAATATACTCACCTCCTTAATTCGAGACTTTTTTGTCAGTGTGACGTGACTTCAGCAAAATGTCGCTCCCTCCGCGATGTCTGGGAAGTGTGACTCCGCGGATGACCACAAGGGGGCTTCCTTCTTGCATTCCATAAATACCTCCAGAAAATGAGAGCTCTTCAGTCCTTTTGGGCTTTACAGCATTCCTCGTCCATCTTAAGCTTCAGGTTAACTGTACTAAGCACTTCCTTTGTTATTCCAGTATCACTTTTTATCTGCACCCGGTCTTAGGTTACTGAGCACTAGAAGAGAGACCTGCAATTTAAGACGTCCAGGAGCATTGAATCACACCTTTTTGTAGAAGACAGTGATGAAATAATTTACTGTATTATTCATTGTTGTCATTTATATAGCCCTTTTCCATACCAAAGGATCCCCAAGTGCATCACTCATAGGAGTGAGCCCACAGCCTCCACCACTAGTAAAGCTCCTATCCTGCATAAGAAAATCTATGTAGATGTATATAAAAAGTTATTTTCCTGTAATAATTATTTTGCCTTTGTAATTGAAGCTACCTCTTCATTCCTATAGGGGGAGTAATTGCACCTTATCAAAACTATTGCACCACACAGCCTACAAAACAGCATTTGAATATATCCCACAAATAAGACCAGTTTAGTTATTTCTAGGTGTGGCATCTTAGGAAAGAAACATTAAAGTAGGTTACTGATTTATTTTCATAGTATTTCAGGTTTTTCATGCTCACTGAATCTTGAAGCCCTTTGAATCTGTAACACAGAACTAATGTAAACACCTGAACTCAAGCAAATCTTTGCCTTATCTTTGCCTTATATGAACGTTCCTGCTTTTTAAAAACAATCACCCCTGTGTTTATAAAAGAGCAGCATGTGGCATTTCTTTGTGGAAATACAACATTGTTTAAAAGGGAATGTATATAAGTTATTTATATATCAAGCCTTAAATATTCCACTCTGCAGACTGTGCAGAGGATGTGTTTGTAGAACATTTTTTGAAGACGTTTTTAAAAAACTGAAATGTTAATGCACTGTTTTACTACCAATAATAACATAGTCTTTATACAAAGCACATTTGCTTGTTGTTGTTTTTTCTTGAAATAATTAACCCTGCTTTTCAAATAATTTTAATACAAATAGTAAGTCTGTGTATTTACAGTATCTGTTATCTATTCACCCATTCATTCAATGATCTTTAAATGCCCTGGGATAAAATAGTAAAAAAAAAATCTTATAAAATGTCTTATATAACTGATTTATTCAAATGCAAGGTGAATTCAAAGTGGAAACGTTCTGCTAAAGTAAACTAGCATCCTAACCAGTTTTATACACAGAAAATGGTAGAAAAAATAGGCCATATAAATTGCCTATGCAGTTACGGACTATGTCCACAAGAGGTCGCGCTGTCCCCCTTAACAATAAAAATAAAACACCCTAATGCAACGTTGGAAATTATACCACCGCAGTGACATGCAAGGTTTTCTGTGCGTTAATGCTGCATTCATCATTTCCTTGACAAAAGAAACAACTACATGGACAGTCTGGGAAGTTCAGAAGTTCACTGCAGCATTGCACTCGTGATACATTCATTTCAATGCATTTCTGGTTTTAATCTTTCCTTGATTTTTTTTTTAAATGGTAAATCTAGAACCTAAATCATGACTCTCTTACAGTCTTGTAAGTACAGTTCACGCTCTTCCATGAGATAAAACAAGGCCTAAGAGCCTTTTCCTTTGGATCCCACATCAGCACGAAGTTCTTTGAGTGCCTGGAATGAAATAGTAATCTGTAGAAATGTGATGTATGATTTGTCCATAACAAGTATATATAAACTGTACAAAAAAGTTATAAGTTCTTACTCACATCTGATACATTAACCCAATTATAAGAATGTGTAAATGCATTGTGGTGTTTACAACTTAAGAACACGTGCAATGTCATTCTGTGTATCTTGTAGAAAATGATCAATTTCATTGCACAGAACTTTCGTATAATTCAACAGAGGTTTAGTAGATTCTGATTCGACATTAATAAGGAGATAAAAATATGAACAAAATGTTTTTGTTAAACCTACTCGGAAAGTGCGAAGGTATTGAGGTGTCAATGGGATAATACTCCTTGAATCTCTTTTTCTTTTTCGCCAAGCATTTGAAATGGTGGAGTCGCGCGAGGAGACCCATTTAGTCTAGTCAGTGTACGTCTTAATCTGGGAGCTGATACGAACAGAAGAGTTTAGAAAAACGATCGTGGCCAAGATCATCTCAGATCAGTTCTGGAGGCTGGAAGAAGAAGAAAAACATGTAAAGGGAACTAAAATTATCGTGTTTATATATATATCAAATATATAGCTAAATGTATTTACCTTTTTAAAACTAAATCTTTTTTAGATTGCCCTAAATTATCCATCACTCACACAGACACACGCTTTCTCCCCCCTCCCAAATAAAATGAAACCCCGGGGGGTTATGTCTGGGCACCTCCCCTGAGAGCAGGGGCAGTCTGCAGGGCATGTCTGAATACTCGAGTCCCTGGTCCCTATAGCAACAGCCAGGCTTCTGTAGGCCCGCAACTGGGCCTCCAAACAGATGCACATAATTAATGTAATTATATAGATATGTCAGCCCTGTCACCTTCCAGTTCATTAAGCTAGACACTCTCCCAGACTTGTCAAGAGCCTCTTGATTTTGGGAAAAATCTCGACGTCTGCCCAGGAGTACATTTCAATATCTATGTACGATATTCGGGGGCTGATAGGAGGAGTAGGTGGAAGTGAACAAGGAAAAACAACAAGAAAGACTCAGTACTCAGAACAGCTGTTTTGTTTTTTTTTCCCCCCTCCATTGTGAAACATTACAGCTTCTAAATAACCCCTGCGTGGAAATTCCTGGAGCTCTCGCCATACAAAAAAAACGAGTACGCCTTTTTATTCATTCTGCATAATTGTTCTCACGTCTTGTCAAATAAGGTTGTCAGACATCACTTTTCGCCTCTGTAGTCTGACTAATCCCAGCGCCACAGACAGCATTCTTATTTTTTTTTCATAGAACGTCAGCTCGGGCTGGTCAGGAAACAGCTTCTCTCTCTGTCTCACGTGCTCTAGACCAGCGCCTCACTAACAGGATTCCAGAATTCGAGTTTTCATTGGCAAAGCAAAGATAGCAGGGGGGCCTACAGGCATCGTGGTCCACAAGCAGATGAAATGCATCAGACATTATGGCATCATTTAAGGGGACAAAATGCACAATCTTATTTCATTTTTAAAAAAGCATCAGATCTTAGTTTTTGAATCCAAAATAGACCCACTGTCGGTCTTTATACCTATCGAAATCCATATGTACTGCACATATTTGAAGGCCAAATTCATTTCATCAGCACATTTGATTGGAGCAAAGCCCAATATTAATTCATATTCAATGCCAGCAGAAATAATTTCTGCAGTTTATAGCGCTGGTAGTTGCTAGGTTCTGTAATGTAGAGCATGGGACAGTGATCATGACGTTGGTGATATAAAGATTTCGCCCTCTGGACTCCACAAGCGGCAGGAGCTGTTTAGCAGGGCACGTTAAACAGTTGTTTTTTTTTCGGGAAAAGGTTGTTTGAAGGGGGTGGCTGGTGCCCTATGACCTCTGAGGTCAAAGGCCGAGTGGTCCCGAGTTCATAAGGAAGTTCAGCCCCAGACATGAAGTCGGTCCCTTCGGGGTCGGGAGGTCACATGTCTTCCATGCGGCTGTAAAAGCTCTGTGTCCTGATAGACGGTGGCTCTGGTTTTGCCACATGACGTTTCTTTTCGTTTCGAACTGCTTTGCCATTATAGCCACAAAAACTGCGGACAACTAGCGGGACCCCACCCCGAAAGGTAAACCCCAGAACATGATGTCGCGGCGGTTCACAAAAACGTAAAATCTCTTTTCTGCGAACCTTCCCAGCGCTGAACCCTATTTCAAGTTTTTAATACGTTGTACAAAAGACGAAAGTAAAAACAAAAAAAACTATCCGTGTGTTGGTCTACAGACAGTATCTAATGTTGGGTATGTATTTCTACAAGTTCGGAAGACAAAAAAGCAAGACCGTTTGCTTCTTAATGACCGTGATTTCAAAACGGAAAACGAAATAAACACCAATTTAAGGGCGAGAGACATTGCCGTGTTCACATTAACCCCTTGCTTCAGAAGTTCCTAGGCATGTTTCTGCGAGCTGGTGTTGCTGTTCAAGTCCACAGACAGACTACTCGCCGGCGAGTCACCTGCGCAGATCAGTGTGGCGATGCTGTAACAGTGTCACTGACATCGATGAAGCTCCGACAGCACAGGGGCACGGCCGTTCTTCCTTCAGCTGGGCCGCTTGGTCGATTCTAATTTGGTGGGGAAATCAAATAATATCACTAATAAATCATGTCGGATTTCAGACGGGCGCTCAGTGGACCGTAGGGCAGCCGGCGCACCGATTCAACAGAGACGCTCTTTCCCTGGGCTCAAATCCATTTTATCCATAGCTATATTTCTGAAACTTGTACGAAACAAAAGCTCCAACTGTAAATTGGGGGGGGGTTGTTATGGCCAAAACATGTATGTTTTCGCTTACGAAGGGAAATCGGCTCTTCCTATCCGTCCAGAGAACCTCGCCTTGACACATAAACCCGATCTGTGCGTTACCTGTCCCTAAAGCAGAAAAACGATTTACTTAACAAACGTGTTACGTGGTACCACGAGTCTGAAACGACTAGCATAATTATTAGTAAAGTAACGGTGACAATTGATAACGCATCCCCCAGTCTGTTCCCCGGAAAACAGGCCCGGTTTAGGGGGGAATTAAATCGCAATAAAATCCGGGGTTAAGGTCACAGACTCAGACAGGGCATTATTACGAGTTATTGCTGACGTTCAAACGGCACAAAAAAAAAGACGTCTGGAATTGCTAATTTCTGGGTTGGTAGACGAGGCATTGTCATGTGGGATGTCATTTGCTACAGAAGTATTTGATGTTCGGCTTAACGTCCCCCCCATCCTCGATGGGACATAATTAATACACTGGCTCCCGCTCGGCTGCCAGTACCTTTGTCTCAGAGATGGACTGCCGCGAGGAAGAGGCAGGGCTGTCAAAGATGAAGGGTCTGCAGATAGTTTCTGGATTTAGGCCCGGTTACAGCAAAGCACAACAAGTCTTGCAGAAAGACAAAGGGAAAACGCGTTTATGTGTGGAATACAAGTGCTCTCAGTCAAAGACGCCTTTGACTGACAGTCTCGAAGCAGCGCCGAATAGGGAGAAATCTTGACTGTTTTACAGTTCTCATCCGAGATAGTGTAGTTCTGAAATTTTAAGTTCTCCCTTTAAACCGGCAATGAATACCTTCGCTTTCGAGGAATTGACAGGGTTATGAGTTGCCAAGCTCTGAAATCTCTCCCATGCTTATTTTAAAAATAATTTTCTGAAGAAACAACGCCCCAAGTAGTCAAATAATACTACATAAATAGAAAAAAATAAAGGAGTTAAAAGCTCTTTGCAGGGCGGTTACTTTACTTGTAAATTACACTGTACAAATGATCATATTTAGCCCTTCAGTGGAAATGTTCTCGCTGTCGCACGGAGCAGAACTGCAATGAGCGGACGTAACTGATGACTAATACAAGCCTTTTTATAACTCTCCCTACATCCCTTTCAGAAACCATTTATCGAGAGTACTGCAAAAGAGCACAGTTTATCTTCTTTAAACTCACATGCGCTACAAGGAGGGCATGGATATATAAATAACAATACTAAAAAAAACAAAACACACATGGGTCACTTAATTCATGCATTTTTTTTAATAAATACTTGCTTTTTTATTTCTTAATCACACATAAAAACGTTTGTCTCTCATCTACAGCAAGAAAAACTATCAAAGATCGGATCAGGAGATTGGCCGTTCTTTGGATTGATCATTGTTCAACGTCCTGTATTAGTAAATTACAATTAGGATTTTTTTTTTAAACTAGAATGAATCACATTTCAGATTTTTTTTCCAGAAAATTAACTCTGAATATGAGTACAGTGAGTAGTAAATCACTCCTGCAGGTACAGACCATTGTAACAGGACTCAGTCCTCAACAGACAAAATGAAATTGGATTCTTCTGTCTTTCTTTTATAGATACTGAATTATAATTAACACACCTGCTAAAAGTTTTTCTTTTTTTTCTCTGGCTGTGGGCTTTCATACATAGTAACAGAAAACAAAAACAACACCCATTTGGTACCCTAACACACCCCAAAGCATTTACAGATCCCTGAGTTTCAGGCACTTCATTAAAGCCTGGAGAGGCGGAGCAGAAACCGGCACGAATAATTGAGGCCAGGTCCTGGTTGGGTCAACACTATACTTCATGCAAGCCTCAGGGGGAAAAAATGCAAAACAAGGGGGAAAAAAAAACCACACTAAGAATTCCCAGACATTTCTGTGCCTTCCTCAGCCCGCAGACGAAGAAATGTCCGTTTCTGGCTCGTCTCCCTTCTCCAGAACTCTGGAGGTTCGATTGTCGACATGGTGCGAGAGCTGAGCTTCCAGGACAGCAGGAAACAGGAAACGCATCACAGGAAGTGGGAGGGCCGGTGAGTTACAGGCAGCGGGTGGATGTAAACGAAGCCCTTCTGCAGTTCTGAGGGATGCATGAGCCCGACCCCTTCCTGTCCGGGAGAGAATGAAAGCTGCCCGGCTAGCTCCTCTGTCCTGGGAGAGATCTGGGAGGGCCGCAGAGCCGGTCCCCTAGGAGTGCATGAGGTACTGGTGGAAATAAACCCCGAACAGGCTGCTGATCACCTGACAGGCCGCCACCCACCAGGTGAGGAAGGAGAAGAGGCCTCTGTAGAAGCCGGGGGTGAGGGCGGCGCGCAGGGC